TATATATATATATATATATATATATATATGTATGTATATATAATCACACCTTTTATGTTACCTTACATAACACTTTATATAATAGTTTCTTTAGCTATTTTAATTCTTCAAACTTTCAATTATTATTTCATTTTTTTTATATCTAAAATGATATATTTTTTTCCCCTTTTTTATCCGTTACTCCATGAATTAACAACTATCTCCACTCCATCGTTCACGTAATTTTTTTCCATTTTCATTTTTACACAAATTATATATTTTTATGAACAATATTTATATATGTTTTCTCATCCACAAAGTTTTTCCGTAAAATAGAGAAAATCCAATTGCAATAAGATCCAAGGAGATGAAAGTGAAACATGTATTCTTTACAATTTTTTAAGTTGCAAGATGATCCCAGCTTAAAATGAGTACGAAATTATCTTTCTAAAATTTTTATTCATTAAACAAAAAATATTAATTAGTTTACAGAAATGATGAATTGTTTAAAAATATTAATTAGTGTATGAAAATGATGATTTTTCATTTGTTTTTACAATATTGAAAGAGTCAAACGACGTGTTTTCTATATTTTCAAAATGTTCCTAATTTATTAAAGAGTTTAAGGAAAAAAATAATAAAGGGTATTTTTGTTATCGGTAACATATCTGATTTGTTATTTTAAGGGATAATTGCAGCAGATGCCCCAAAATTTTAAAGTATTATCAAACTTTTTCCAAATCGTTAATTTGTTGTAATCGTCATCCCAAACTTTTCGAAACATTGCGGTAGAAGTCCTTTTGGACAGTTTCCATCCATTTTTCCGTTAGTTAACCCAAAATTTGACTTTGACCATATTTTTAATATTTTTAAAATAATAAAATAGTAACTTTTCATTTACTATATTAAAATAAATTAAAAATTAAATTAGAAAACGAAATAGAAAATAAAGACCTATCTCCCTATTCAAATCTCCTCATTTTTCTCCGTTGTACAATGAGAAATTTCTTCACTCAAAGGTGCTTCATCCATAAACATGACTTCTTGCTTCTTCTCAAATGATTCATTTTTCACAATTTTTCAGTAGAAATTTTTGCCATTATCTTAGGGTATCTCCAATTATTGCACCATTGCACCATTTTTTGGTGCAAAGTTACTCCAACCCAACACTAAACTTTGCACCATTTTAGTGAAAAATGGTGCAAAGTGTAAAATGTCTCTTCTGCCTTTATTTAACATTTTTCAAATAAATTTGTTGAGGGTATTTATGTCATTTGTGCTATATATTTTTTAATATAATAAATTATTAATAATAATATTATTTGTATTTAAAATAAATTTTAAATATAAGATATAATAATTAATAAATTAATTAAAAGACAAAAAAAAATTAAAATACATCAAACACGATTATTTATTAAAGTTAACACGAAATATATTAAATAGCGACATAGATACGATAATCTAATTTTATTTTTAAAAAAAAGGATACATAAAAAGTGCATAGTTCAATAATCTGGAAGATCACTTCCAGATCCTCCAAAATCGCTAAAATAATTTCCAAACAACCGAGATGATAAAGAAATTTTCACTAAAATCGATATTTTTAGGAATTTCTTGCTCTTCATAGACAAATTAAGGATAAAGAAACTCACATTGCACTTCGAAATGCATTAATCGATCATTTGTGGGGTGAACATATGAATTCTGAGAATTAAATTGCAAAGATGAAGCGACTTCGTAATATCGTCTATCCAAATTCAAAATGCATTGTACTATTTTCTGATGGCATAATTTCATATTTTCGTTGTTGTAGTATTTTTATTAATTGTTCTATGTTTTTTATATTTATTAATGAATTTAATATTTTTCGTAATTTAACGTAATTATTTATTTAGTAACTTATGTATTTGGGAAATAATTAAATAAATAATATTTCAAATAAGTAGATTATAAAGAATAAAAAAGGGAAGAAAAATGGTTAAATACTATTCATTTGATGTAATTTTTGGTATAATGGTTGGAGATGAATTTTAGTTTGATGCAAAATTTGGTGCAAATTTTGATACAAAATGGTGCAAAATTTGGTGTAGGATTGGAGATGACGGGTCCTTCATTTTCTTGGGTACCCAACCCACCCCCGTTTTCCTACGGATGCATTCTTTCCTTAAAACTCTTAAATTCATGAAAACGCGGAGAATTTTTGCAAGATTTTCACAGCCCTCTATCATTTGAAGGATTTATTATTGTTTTTCGAGAATTCTGAGGTTTGGAAGTCACAGAAAATACGGACATTTTTCGCAAGTTTTATTTGTCGGGCTCCATGGTTTAAAGGACAAATCTTTGTTTATTTTATTGAGAGTTGATTTGGGAGGGGGTGAAGAAATGAGTTTCTTCCCATGTTTTAGGAAAGCAAGTTACAAGGAGGAAGATTTTCTAGTTGGTTAAGCCAAAGATATCACTACATTACCTCCTCTTGGTATGCCTTAATACAGTGGAAGATATTGCAGCAATCATGAAGACAAAGGATTGGAGTTGGAGGTGGGGATTGGTGGAAGATATGGTTGGGAAGAAGATGAACAGTGACCTTGTTATTTAATTTTTTTTATTTAACTAAATTTATTTTAATAAACAATTACTTTTTTGCCCCTATTAAAAATATAAAGGGGTCGTTTGTTCCACATTTTTCCAACAAAAATGTATTTTAAACATCACATCATGGGCCCTACCTTAGAGTGTTGAAGTCAAATATTGTAGGCTGATTTGATGAAAAATGTATTCGACTTGTACAAAAATAAACAATTGAAAGGAAGTTGTTAAATATTGAACTTTCAATCTTGACTTCTCATGTTTTGGTTTTTCCATGGTTTGACATCTTGGTACTACTTCTAAGTACTTACGACGAGCTTTGTATCGCAACTTCCATATTCAGCAGTCATTAAAAAATATATTTATAATTGCGAACTAAATATGGTGGCTCGAAGTGGATTTAAAGAACTTATTTTATTCTCTCTATTTCCAACGTCAAGTTATTTAAAATTTTATTTAATGTTCGTTCATATAATTAAAATATAAAGTCCTCATTTAATGAGAATTAAAATCAGATTTTTATAAAAGTTGATAAAATGTGTGAATGAAAAATCGTATATTCCATGAAAATGTGATTAAAATTAATTGTTCAGTTTGACCTAAATTAAAATTTAAATTTTAACCTCAACAAAACACGACTGAAAGTATGTTGAAATTTTAGAGCTTTAGCCCCTATTTGGCCCATATTAAATTAAAATTTATTTTTCTCTCTTTTCTTATTAATCACACATTTTTATATAAAAAAATATTACACATAAATGTAAAAACTTTTCCTTCCTTTTTAATCATTCTTTCTTCAAAATAAAATTATTATTCTTTTCATTATAATTTGAAATAATGGAGCCCAAGACTTAGAAACTTGAATCGGCAAACTCGACATCGATTAAGGGGGTTGACCATTTTCTTAATCAACTTAACAAGGACTCTTGGTGCCATTGTGTACGGCACATTGGATATTATTATAGTAAAATAATGTCAATTTGTACAACATTAATATATTATTACTAAATAGTAAATATTGAATTTTCATCGTTGACGCCGCAGGTTTATATTTTTCCCTGAGTTGAGAGATAAATTCATGCATGGGCTCATTGATTTAAGACTCTAGGTGGGTAATTCTTTCATAGGCTCATTCAACTAATTCTCTATAAATAGTCACACAGCCATAGCTGTAATAGCACAATAAATTTACAGTTCTTCAAATTTCCCTTTTCATTTGTAGCAATGGAGAATAACAACTTCATGTTGACTAGCAAAACTGATGCCCCGCCTCTTCCGGGCGGTGGTCAGCTCGCCAGACACACCCAATCCGTTTTTCAGTTGGGCCAGTGGAGATGAAGCTGGAGGACTTTTTTAAGTACTCTGATCAAGTGAGAGAGGAGAGGCCATTGTATCTTTTTGACCCAAAGTTTGCAGAGAAAGTTCCGCAGTTGGGTATGGATTATGAAGTGCCAACATACTTTAATGAGGATTTATTTCATGTTTTGGGCAACGAGAGGCCAGATTATAGGTGGATTATAATTGGACCTGCAGGGTCAGGGTCGTCTTTCCACATTGATCCTAATTCTACATCTGCTTGGAATGCAGTGGTTAAAGGGTCCAAGAAATGGGTGCTGTTCCCCCCTGACGTTGTACCGCCTGGGGTGTATCCGAGCCCTGATGGTGCAGAAGTTGCATGTCCTGTTTCTATAACCGAGTGGTTTATGAACTTTTATAATGCTACAAAAAGTTGGAAGAAAAGACCCGTTGAGTGTGTTTGCAAGGCAGGAGAAGTGATCTTTGTGCCTAGTGGATGGTGGCATTTGGTTATTAACCTAGAATATTCTGTTGCCATAACACAAAATTATGTTAGCAGGTATGATGCTTTATTTCTATTTTGTGTTGTGTACACAAGTTAATTGCGATGATTGGCCAACTCTTTTCCACTCTTTCTTATAGTCTTTTGAAATCTCACGCAGTTTATGTTGTTCTCTTGATATTGCAAATGATGCTTAATGAGCATTAGATGACCTTTACATGGTGTTAATATTATATTTCTCAGCAATTCCTTATGGACCTAACCAAAATTTGACGTCTGTATGTTCAGTTATTGTTTGATATTTTGCAAAGAAATGCAATAAATTATATGAAATCTCCATTAATGCTGTATGTTGCACAATACTATAGTTTGTACCTGACCTGCTTGTGAAGCAAAGGATATTAAAGAGATAAATGCAGGAGCTTGTTCCCACTAAATATTTATCATGATTATGAACTTGAATATTACTTCTATTTGGAAACATCGCAAAATAAAAAGTTCATGTCTTGGCATTGCGTTTCTTTAGACAAAACAATTTTTCATTGGTTAGGTCAATTATGAAAAGCTTTTGCTTTGTTTTTCAACATGTAATCAAGAAAATAAGAAGTCCTGTGCTTCATGTGAGTAAGCTGGTGTGTCAACTGAAACTCTTTAGGTGCGTTGAAAAAATTTTAGTACCTTAACAGTGTGCACTTAGCTTCATGCTAAATTCAAGTACAGTTGATGACAAATGCAGGTAGAATTTTGTTGATCTGTGTTTTACTTAACGCGATCTCTTCATTGATAGAATATTGATTTTAGCAGCCGTAATCGGACTGTAGAATGAATTTGAGAATGTGACCGAGGCTTGGTTCAAATATTGCTTGTTGAAGTTCAGTTAATTAGACTGGTTCCTATTCCTATTTGAGCGCACCCCAGTGTCAACTAGGTAAATTATTTGAGGCTTTCAAGAACGAACTGAGCTATCCTGAGCATCCTAAAAATTTTGGTTGGCTCATTTACATCCTAAAATCTGTTTCAGCATTATCAAGATGAATTGTTCCAGTTCATTCAGATTGAACAAGGGTTATTACGATGAACGGTTAGGATTCAATGTTTGTGGGGGAAATATGCTTTCAAAGTGTGAGGGAGATCTTTCAAACATTTTTCTTAAACAGGTTTCATAAACATCAGTGTGAAACGGTATTGCAAAATTATTAAAAAATCAACTACATTAACGAATATGTAGTAACTTCAAATGTTATATTCCTAGTTTTGCAGCAGAAATGATGTTCCCAGATATACTTCTTTTGTGCTGCAGGAGGAATTTATTGAGTGTTTTGGACTTCCTAAAGCGGCCTAATGCTTGCACTCTTGTCTCTGGGACAAGAGATCGAGTGAACTTGCACGACAAATTTAAGGATGCCATCGAGTCGTCTCTACCTGGAACCATTGACCAGTTGATACTAAAAGCTGAGGAGAAAAGGATGCAGCCAAAGAAGCTCTCGTTCTGGGATTCAGTATCGGATTCTAAGGCGGGTGCCTTCAAGTTCTCCTTTTAGGAACGCATTTATCGTGGTCGGAACAAAACAAGGATGAGAAAATTCTCCATCACTACTGTTAGTGTTTACAATAGAGGAAAACACTTTCTTGAAATTTTGTTGTTTGAAGAACAGTTTTGACTATATTAGAAGGGAGCCTAGAATAATTGTTAACCAATTTGATGTCGATCGAGACAAAATTACTTCGATTCGTCTGTTCTTTTATAGAATCATTAAATTGTTTGTATTGAAGAAGTATGAAATTTTGTTGACAATGAATTGCGTATTGAATTTGCTACCATTGATTCAATTGCTTATTGCTCTGATTCAATTTCTCTGTATAATTTTTTCCAATTACAACGTACTCGAATATATTAAAAAATAGAAATTTATAAACCTTTTGTAGATTCTAGAATCTCAACGAACTAATCATTTTCATAATCTGAAGTTGACTCACCGCCTTACTCCTCATATTTCCATATTTTTCTCACAGCTTTTCATTCTCTCCCCCCCTTTGCTATTTTTCATCTTTTCTTCTCCATTTTATTAACAAATTTGCGCCTTCATTTTATTTTTCTTTTTGATTCTGATCCCTAATATTTATTGTTCTTCTGAAATTCTCGGGCTTTTGGCGACTCAATTTGTATTAATTAAATATTCTGGTATTTTAGATTGCATATTTGTGAGTTTGTTCCTTTGATACATTGAAAATATAACTATTTCGGCGCAAAACTTAGGGTTTGTTAGAGGTGGGTATTCCTGCGTTAATTTGATCATGAAGCTTCAATTTTGATGGCACATTGTCGTGAATGGGATCGACAGGGCTTGTTTGGACGATGAAATTCGAGAAGGTTAGGAATTATTAAGGTAGATTTATTGCATTTGATGGGTAACACATGTATAGGTCCCAAAAATTTGGGCAACAATGGCTTCTTACAATCTGTCACCAATGCGGTTTGGAAAACCCAGCAACCAGAGACCCTCCCGGCCCCGAATGACAAAAATGAAAGCTCAGTGAATTCCGACGGTAAAGGTTCTGGTTCGACTCAGCCTAAGTTGGATGGGCAAAACACTCCGCCCACCCCTCTAATAATTGCCAGCGATTCGACTCAGCCTAAGTTGGATGGGCCAAACACTCCGCCCACACCTCTAATAATTGCCAGCGATGGGGTCAAATCACCGGAGCCCCAAAAAACCACAAGCAATGCCAATGAAATTAAGCCGGTAGAGGGGGCAAAACAGAATCAGCCTAATCACGTTAAAAGATTATCTAGTATAGGCCTACAAGTTGAATCAGTTTTACAGAGAAAAACTGAAAATTTGAAGGAGATATATAGTTTGGGAAGGAAGTTGGGACAAGGGCAATTTGGAACGACTTTTTTTTGTCTGGAGAAGGAAACTGGGAAAGAATTTGCATGCAAATCAATTGCTAAGAGGAAGTTGACTACTAAGGAGGATGTGGAGGATGTTAGGAGGGAGATCCAGATAATGCATCACTTGGCCGGACACCCTAATGTGATATCCATTATAGGAGCTTATGAGGATGCAGTTGCAGTTCATGTCGTGATGGAGCTATGTGCGGGTGGGGAGCTTTTCGACAGGATAGTGCAGAGAGGACACTACACGGAAAGAAAGGCTGCTAATCTTGCTCGGACAATAGTTGGTGTTGTAGAAGCCTGTCATTCCTTAGGGGTTATGCATCGAGACTTGAAACCCGAGAACTTTCTTTTCGTTAACGAGGAAGAAGAGTCATCACTTAAGGCTATTGACTTTGGGCTCTCAATGTTCTTCAGGCCAGGTATTCTTCTATTATCTTTTATGTTTGCCTCTTGTATAATTATTCCAATGAAAGTCACGGAATCAGAGCTTTGATCTATTCATTGTTAAGTTTTTTTGCCTTCAGGAATGTTTTAAGTGAGACGAAAGTTGTTTGTCAGTGAATTCACATTTACAAAATACAGAAATAAAGCCCTTTAAATTTGATACCTCTTAGGCGAGCAACTATCTAGGAGGTTGTTCACTCACATATTTTTAATAGTATGCCCTTGAGAGTTTTACTTGATTGAAACCAACGAACAATCATTGCCATCCATGGCATCTAACTGCTTCAAAATACAGGGCTAATCTTGTAATGTGAAATCATCCATGTTAGAAGGGTTAGAAGCAAAAAATATAATATTAACCATAAATTAAGAAATCTTAGAAATTTTGATGAATAAGTTAAAAACGGAATTGAATGTAAAAAATTTCTACAAGTCCAACATGATATCTAGTTCTTTTAATCATGCAGATTGGATGAAATTATATAACTAGATTTCCAAATGTTTTTAGTAAGGAAGAAGGATGGGATAAAATTAAGTTGTACCTTACCTTGGTTGAACACCATAAAGCACTGTGAAAGATTAGTTGAATGTATCTCGAAGCTGAATAAATAAAAAAGTTATGCACAGCATCATCTCCTCAGAAAATTTACTATAGTGCAAGTGGCTTAGTTCTTATAGTACGTGATAAATACAGTTGCTACAAGAGGGTAGACCATCCAGGCTCGAACTAGTTGGGAAATGGTATTTTACCTATGTAAACAAGCTCTAACAATCTTCGTTATCCTCGTTCTAGTTCAGGTACTAGTCTCATAGGCAACACAGCCAACCATGCCTAAATTCTCTGTGTTGCTTCCACATTTTATTGGTGTTAAATGTATGTGCTGGTGAGATGTTTGACCTCTGTCATTTGTGTGAGTTAGTTCAATTTATGTTTGTTAGGTTTCTTTGACTAATCAAATGTGAATTCGACATCTGAATTGGATCATATACTCTACATTATTTATCTGAGATGTTTGACATGGGTCATTTGTGTGAGTGAGTTCAATTTATGTTTTTTAGGTTTCTTTGACTAATCAAATGTGAATTCGACATCTGAATTGGATCATATACTCTACATTATTTATCCTAGAGACATGGAAGGTGTCTGTTTAAGAATTTCTTTCTAAATTTGTATTTGAAGAAGTAGGTTGCAAATGTTTGAGCCATTTCCACTCCTATTTTAGTTTGCCATCTTCAATGTAGTTCAGAAATTTTTCAATGTGCTTGTACACTCTCAATATGTTGTAGGATATAAATGACTTAAATTCCGTCCTCTATTCCTAGAAATATGGAAATAGAATCATGAATTTATCAGATATTGTAAAGCAAAGTGTACCACTGGGGGCTGCTGCAGTCTTCCTGTCAACTATTTTCTCGCTCCATTATGCTGAGGCAAAAGTTTCCGGAGTATTATTATAATTCTCCTTCTATTTGTTCAATTTTGTGATTATGACATTTTAACTTGAATGAAATCTTTTGCCCTTATTACATATCATCCATGCCTTTCTTCTGCCATAATTGCATATCATCAGTGCCTTTCTTCGATGATGTTTGAGCATAATCTTGCTTGTGTTCTAATCGTTTGAGTTTTCATTCTTTAGTCTACCTACCTTGTATTTTTGTCAAGCTTTCTTATGTCTGATTAAGTGATAATATATTTTCTCAGGTGAAACATTCAGCGATGTGGTTGGAAGCCCTTACTACGTGGCTCCAGAGGTATTGCGGAAGCATTATGGTCCAGAATGTGACATTTGGAGTGCTGGAGTTATCATTTACATTTTGCTAAGTGGGGTCCCACCATTTTGGGATGGTAAGAATTTGTTCTTGATCTCTGTTAGTTTCTTGCTTCATTGTGCTATGCTCGAATTAAGTGGTTAAACCCGATTCTTGTTTGCAAATTTATGCTCTGTCAGAAACGGAACAAGGGATATTTGAGCAAGTTTTGAAAGGGGAGCTTGATTTTGTGTCAGAACCCTGGCCTAGTATATCTGATAGTGCAAAAGATCTTGTTAGAAGAATGCTTGTACGAGATCCAAAGAAGCGACTGACGGCCCATCAAGTTCTATGTGAGTATGCTGTGCTCGATATAACGATGTTTTAGGTGTTTTGAAATCAATATGTTAATGTGTATATCTACTTCAATAAATGCAAAATGGTGTTGTGTACTTGTGCACTACCACGAATTGACGCACCATTGAAATGTGCTTTTTAATAGTTATTCAAAGCATACGTGATAGATTAACATGCCTTTTCTTTCTATAGAGATCCATTGTTTCTTCACATACAAAATAAGTAAAAAGAAGTTTGTTTTTTTTTTTCCCTCCCCCATACACCAGTAGAAAGAGTTCAAAAATTTCTTTTTTCTAACATGAAGGGGCAATCTATCCTGGGCCTTTTGATGAAAGCAATAGTACATGACATATGGTATTTGAGAAATTTCATGCATAATTCTTATTGTACGATCAAAATTTCTCTCTCCTTGCAATGGCACATAAGTGATTTGGAGTTTCTTTCACAACATTGTGACATATATTGATACTCCATGGAATTAACTCAAATTTCCTAATATGTAGATAAATTTTCCAAGTAAAAAGTCTATTGTGCATGAAAAAATCAGCGAAAACTAGCATTTTATTGTGTTGAACACTTAATCCAAAAAACTTAAGCTTTTAGAGATACCACTTGTATCTTATTTAATTTTGTGTTTAACATGCACCCTTCATGTGTAGGGTTTCATTTTTCTCCCATCAAGCCAGTAGTTGAGCCACTTGATCTAAGAAATATTGTAGAGGGCCATTTAATCTTTAGAGATGACTTATAAATTGGTTATGTAAAAGGTTGGAAAGTCTAAAGGGAGAATGTACTTGATAGAGTAACATCTTCAAACTAAAAGATACAGGTATATATCAACTTTTATTCATTTAAGGGCATGTAAGCACAGTGTTAATGAGAATGTTTCATCAATTTCATATGTGAGTTTGAGAATTAGCTGATAGAGCTACATAGGACCAGTGAATACATGAATAGGAGGACAAAAGAAGTTGGAAAACAATAAAAAAGCAGCAATTACGTTGAGCGGATGGATTTATTGTTTTGTAGAAATTAACCAATTCAAATATTTGAATGAATAAAATGTGCATATATTTTATGTTCTCTTGAGTATATCCTGTTTGTTGCAATGTATCCTAAGTATTGAAAACGTTGAACGGATGGATTTATTGTTTTGTCGAACCTAATCGATTCAGAGATTTGAATGAATAAGATATGCATATATTTTATGTTCTCTTGCTGTATATCATGTTTGTTGCAATGTATCCTGAGCATTGAAATATGAATGAAATCTAAGATCATAATCTATTTACAGGTCACCCATGGGTACAAGTTGATGGTGTAGCTCCAGATAAGCCTCTTGATTCTGCCGTTATATCTCGTCTAAAGCAATTTTTTGCCATGAATAAACTCAAAAAGATAGTCATCAGAGTAAGTTATTCCAATTTCTCTATTCTCTAAATATTTGTTGTTGAGAAAGGCAGTGGATATGGCTGGTACCTCGAAGTGGTATGATTGCAATAATTGATTTATCCATGCTTGAGTTGGGATTAGGGTGCATACAGAAGTTGGGATTGCATTTGTAAGAAATAGTGTCCCCATAACTATCTATTAGCAATCTTCCCTATCATTGCTGATAATGCACGTCATTTGCATTTTTCAATCAGGTTTTAGTTAGGACTTTTAAGAAGATTATAGTTGTTCTTAATGTTTAAAAAAATGAGCAAATATAAAAGAAAATTATATTTGTATATTCATACTGTTTCATGTGGATTGATAGTTAATTTGATGTTGTTGTTGATCAAATCTCTCTTATCACTCTTATCCACAGGTTATTGCTGAAAGTCTTTCCGAGGAAGAAATTGCAGGTTTAAAAGAAATGTTTAAAATGATTGATGTGGATAATAGCGGACAAATAACCCTGGAAGAGCTGAAAAATGGTTTGGAAAGAGTGGGTTCCAATCTTAAAGATTCGGAAATAACTAATCTAATGCAAGCTGTAAGTGGAGATAAGTTTATTTTTCTGAGCTTTTTTACCTACTTATCAATTAGCTATTGAACTAGGAAATTTTTATGGTTTGCATGTCTTTGGTTTGAGTTATCAATCTTACAAATTAGAGATCACGTGACTTTATATGTAGTTTCCAGATTAATGATCAATTGGTTGTTGGTCTATGGATCTTAATTTAGGTGATATACGAGTCAAAGAATCGTTGCAAGTAGTCTGACTTTTCTAATCACTGGAAAAACATTAGGAGGTGATGTTAGTGATGGATTGGGTGGTTCCCTAATGTTCTTTCTTCCTTTATATTTTTCTAATTTCCCAAGTATTTTTTATTTTCATGAATCTCTGATTTCAAAAATTATGTGTTTTCTCCATTTGTAAAAATCTTATGTAAAGTGCAGTTTTTCTTGCATATTCAAGTGTGCTAGCAACTACAGGAATTGTACATCATAGTTTTATCTCATTTGTTTGCTTTCAACATAGAGGTCATCATAGATGGACTTCTTGTCTCAAAATAGAGATTTTTTTTAGGTAATTATATTTGATTTTTATTGAGGAAAGAGTACTTGAAGAGGAATAGGTAGCATTGGATTAAAGTGAGTTGGATGAAATTAAAGACACTTATCAATTTAAAAAGAATGTAATACATACAACAGCAAAGTACTAATCCAAAAAGAATGTTAAATAGAGTTATATGTAGAACAATAACTAGACTAGCTATTCTTTATAGTACTATCATTGAGAATAATAGGTGCCGTTGGACTAAAGTGAGTTGGAAGAAATTAAACACACTAAATTAAAAAGAATGTTATATAGATAACAACAATTTGTACCAATTAAAACAAAAAGTAGACTAGCTATACTTTATAATACTTACGTTGAGTTATTAATGACAAAATGACCATCAAGGATCCTAAGATGAATTTGTAGTAGAATGAATTGAATAAGAAATGAAGCTACACATCAAGTGGAAGTGAAAACATTTCGGATAAATTAATGGTACTGACAATTTGATGGCCTATTTTGTAGACATAAAGAAGCTCCTTAGTGGAACATGATAGAATTGGAAAAGGCATACCCAGTTGAACATGTTTTGAGGTAGTCGCTAAATATTTGCTTTTTTAGGTAGATATTGATAATACATGTGACACAAGTCCTTCATCAACATGTAAAAACATATGTTTGTGTCTGCTCTGACCTGAAATAGAATTAACTCCTCGAAGTTTATTTTGAATAGGGTGGAGGTGTACTCATGCACAATTGTACAAGTGACAATCCATGGTTATGGACAAGCATTGTGATTTCTTCCTAACAATACTAATGAAATCGCTTTGAAGTTTAAATGCCCACATGACATTTAAAAGCATGTGATAATTTAAAGGAGGGATAATGAAATTGGGAAGAACATTTTGGTAAAGGTTGTAACGTGTGCTTTCTTCAACTAATTCGAAATATCATGGAAAAACACTAGATTTTTTCAGCGAACGAGGTCAAATTAGAAATATATCTCCCCCGATGTGTACCGTGAGCTTTTTTGTGAAATCTACGTTTTCCTGCACTTCTCATTATTATTTATTTGGACATTTGATCCACATTCATAAAAAATTTCTGTTTCATGTTCATGATAATGTAGGCTGATATTGACAATAGTGGAACCATAGATTACGGGGAGTTTGTAGCTGCAATGCTCCACCTAAACAAAATCCAAAAAGAGGATCACATGTTTGCAGCTTTTTCGTATTTCGACAAAGACGGGAGCGGGTACATCACACCAGACGAGCTTCAACAGGCTTGTGAGCAATTTGGTTTGGGAGATGTTCACCTAGAAGAAATAATCTGTGAAGTTGATCAGGATAATGTATGTTCTCATTTTCCAACAAAAATCTCTCTATCCAAACCTGTTATAGACTACGAAATTTAGAAGAAACATTATCGAACTTATAATTTTCGTTTCTTTTTATTATTATTTTTAGGATGGCCGAATTGATTACAGTGAATTTGTGGCGATGATGCAAAACCCTGATTTTGGAAAGAAGGATTCACAACAAGTATGAACATGGTCAAATAATGCTCTTAACCCNCTAATCCAAACATTTAAACGGAAATCTACAATTTTTGTGAGACACTTGTCCCCAATAATTGTAGATTAAAGGAAGTTAGGTCACAAGTAGGTCCCTTTTGTAGAAATGAGCTCTAGGCTTTACTTTGGTGGGAATTGGCAAATAATAGCCAATAGAAAATATATGGGCTCTGTGGACCATACTTTCTCGTCTTGTAAGACTGTCTCCTTAGTTGACGATCTCATTAAAAATTTTAAGTTTCAAAATTATAACGGTGACGCTTCAAAAATTATAGTAAAGTTTATTGAGTTTTTGACACCTCAAAATCGTAATGAAGTTTAGTGAGTTTTATATACCTCACAACTATCCCAAGAATGAAGAGGATTGATTCTTTTAGGTTGTGTTTGGCGAAAGATAGTTACATTTCTTCCAATGAACAAGATGTTTCATTTTTTCCTTTTTCGTATTTCCTTCGTACTACAGCTGAAGATCTTGAGGCTGGCTTGCATAAGAAGAAAATTCAAACCGAACCTACCTTACCAATCTACCTAAAGGTAATGTAACTTCATCGACTACATGTCTTTATTTCTTAATTTGATAAGGAAAGCGTAAATTAACCTGGTCTCAAATCCGTGTTCCATACAAAAAGACTTAATTGATTTGATACAATCTATTTGAACAGGGAAGGATGGAGGTTTATCTAGAGATCATGGCTAACATGGCTATCATGTCAGGTTCAGTCTTGTACAGAATTTCATTTTACATGGCATTTATGTACAAGACTTTCCTTAACAAACCAAAAAAACATAAAATAAGGAAGAAAAGAATGCCTTTGGGATACATAACATAGTAATTGAACTACTCAATATCTCTAACCAAAAACCTCCAGTGGTCGAAATGGTATGGAACACGTATTATTAACGAATAGAAAGCTAAAAGTTTAGTTTTACATTAGTTTATGCTAAGACAACCTAGTATGCTACATGAATTTATTGTCAGCTCACATGATAAATGGTTTTTCTTCTAAATTGTGCAGTTCACCAATTTGACATACAAGGTTGTTCTGAAAGGAGTAACATCGACAGTGGAAAAGGATATTCTAAATGGAATTACTGGTTCAGTCGGTCCAGGGGAAGTTTTGGCACTGATGGGACCATCGGGAAGCGGAAAGACTACCCTCCTGAGTCTACTTGGAGGGAGAGTAAGAGATCCCGCACCGGGCGGTTCGATTACTTATAATGATCAACCTTACTCGAAGCTCCTAAAAAGCAGGTGACTTTGTGCGGATAAATTTGATATAATTCTTCGGCATTTGGTCTTAGATGCATATGTAGTGTTCACTATTATTGTATCTGATTAAAGTTTTTAACATATATGACATGAAATGTCTGGCAGGATAGGGTTCGTGACTCAAGACGACGTTTTATTTCCTCACCTTACGGTGAAAGAAACATTAACATATGCAGCTCTCTTACGACTTCCAAGGACATTGACAAAGGAGGAAAAGAAGAAAAGAGCCATGGATGTAATAGATGAGTTAGGATTAGAGAGGTAAACAGACTGTTATTTAAAACGTACCTGTTGAAGAACTTGATCTTATGTTATGTGTTCACTTCAAGATTCGAATTTACAAACAGAGGACTGACAGTAAAATTTAGAATCGAGAAACTCGTTATCAAAGCTGATCTATGAGGAACATTTGTTTACAGGTGCCAAGACACCATGATTGGTGGATCCTTTGTTAGGGGAGTTTCAGGTGGAGAGAGGAAGCGCGTTTGCATTGGAAATGAGATAATAATCAATCCGTCTCTCTTGTTTCTCGATGAACCAACCTCTGGCTTGGATTCTACAACTGCTTTGAGGATTATTGATACTTTACATGATATAGCTGAGGTATATGCATCTAAAACAGAAATTCTTTTTCAATTTTCTGGAATGAGTACCATGATTATCGAATATCTCGAGTTGAATACACATGAAAAAGCCTATAAATGTTTCGGAGGTATCTTGTTTCTAATTGTAGTATTCTTATGGTAGGCTGGCAAAACGGTGATCACCACAATCCACCAGCCGTCGAGCAGACTCTTCCTCAAGTTTAACAAGTTGATTCTTCTTGGCAAAGGAAGCTTGCTTTATTTTGGACAGGCATCAGAAGCAATGGTGTACTTTTCATCCATAGGATGTACTCCTCTCATTGCAATGAACCCTGCAGAATTCATGCTTGACCTTGCAAATGGAAATGTCACTGATATTTCTGTCCCGTCCGAATTGGAAGATAAGGTGCAAATGGAGAATTCAGAAACGGACACAAAAGGTGGAAAGCCTGCTCCAGCAGTGGTCCACGAGGTAAGAACGACACTGCAGATTTTTCATGAAAAATATAAAGCAATCATGAAGATATTAGTTACCTAATTATATTTTATTCTGAAGCAGTATCTTGTGGAGGCCTATGAGACAAGAGTTGCTGAAAGTGAGAAGAAGAAACTTATGGACCCTATACTGATTGATGAGGAAATCAAGTCCAAATTATTTTCTGCCAAAAGAGAATGGGGAGCAAATTGGTGTGAACAGTATTCCATATTAGTCAGGAGAGGACTCAAAGAACGGAGACATGATTATTTTAGCTGGTTGAGAATTACTCAAGTTATAGCTACTGCAACTGTCCTTGGATTGCTATGGTGGCAATCAGGTGGTGACAGCACGGCCGAACTGCAAGATCAGGTAAAATTTCCTGTAATGGCCTATTTGATAGATCGGACTGTACAGGATTGGACAATAGGGAAGAAAAAAAGATTAAATCTTGTTCATTATACTTTTTAACCGAACATGCACATAGTGTTTTGCCACAATCAAAACACTTAAGGCAAAATGGGATTGATTATACGAATGACAAAAGGTACTGGTATTTCTGTTCATCAATGCTGTCTTCACTGAGGCTTAATGATCCAATATACTGAGAAAATTATGTTGCAGGCAGGGTTGCTATTCTTCATTGCTGTTTTTTGGGGATTCTTTCCCGTTTTCACAGCTATCTTCGCATTTCCTCAAGAAAGAGCTATGCTGAGCAAGGAACGTGCAGCTGACATGTATAGATTAAGTGCCTATTTTTTGGCAAGAACCACAAGTGACCTTCCACTTGATCTTCTACTGCCAGTTGTATTTCTTGTAGTCGTATATTTCATGGCAGGCTTAAGAATGGAAGTTGGTTCATTTTTCCTCACCGTGCTAACAGTTTTTCTATGTATTATAGCTGCTCAGGTACCATCTTTCTCAATTTGACAAGATCAATCTAGTGTAAAAAAATAAACAATTCCACAAAAAAGTTTATTAAGATATTTTGTGAAACAACAGGGACTTGGGCTAGCTATCGGTGCTACCCTGATGGATTTGAAAAGGGCTACAACTCTAGCTTCTGTCACAGTAATGACCTTCATGTTGGCTGGTGGGTACTTTGTCAAGGTAAGCATGCAATTTTTAGGTAACCTTTTTTCTATGTTACTAGCTCAAGTCTGCAAATATTTACAGCTTAGACATAATAATTTGTGGCGTTTTCGTGGTGCAGAAAGTTCCAGTATTCATATCATGGCTTCGCCACCTCTCCTTTAACTACCACACCTACAAACTTCTTCTGAAGGTACAATTTGAACACATAGGTGACTCTATCAATGGGATAAAAATAGATGATGGTTATGTTGAAGTAGCTGTGTTGGTAGCCATGGTTATTGGGTACAGATTTTTGGCGTATCTATCTTTACGAAGGATGAAGCTCCAATCAGGAGCTTAGTTGCGCTAGCGCCACGTTAACACAGAGCTTTATGAGATATCCCATCTAAACTGAGCGTGAAGCCAGAAAAGGGGAATGAAAACAAGATGACTGGAGAATATATTCAAACCTTTGCCTCTGAGAGAGGTCGTAAATTCACAACTTGGACTAGATTACATAAAGTGTGATTCAAAACTCTATTTTTTTTTTTAAGATAGTTTTTCGCATGATTTAAAATCATGTCTCCACCAATTCTGAAAATGTAATAAAGTACTTAGCGCTTGCATAAAGTACTTTTACTTTGATTTTGGAGATATTAATTAAGCAAGTTTAATGACAGATGTTTTCTGGTTAGTTTTGAATGGAAAAAGGTTTAAACAAGTGAAGGTATGATGAACAAAATTTTGCTTATAATGTGACTACCATATCGATTAACTGATGCAATCATACTATAAGTACACTCATATATACCTTCCTTTACACTCTTCCAAATGGCAAGATCTACACTCTTGATTTTCAATCCATCCATCACATCCCTTTCCTCCACATAGGCGAGGATGTCATCCTTGTTGTCAACAAGGATGTACATCTAGCTTAATTCTAACTGATGAGATTAATTAATAATAGTCTACACCAAATCGAGAAACTGGTATACACTTGGGGCAAAGTTTATCACTACAGCTCAAAAATTTCAAGCAAGAACGACCTCCAAATGAAGTGTTGTATACGAAGGTAACCTTGTTTGCTTCTTAGATTTTGCAAGAACAACAATGTTTAACTACTTAAACTTTTAGATCCAGGTTCAACACTTTCTCATTCATGAACTTCAACTTTTTCACTACCTGAAACGCGCCAAATTGATTACAAGATTTGATGCATGTAACTGAGTAGAAGAGAGAGAGAGAGCGAGCGAGCAGTGTGAAACCATGAAATGAGTGATCTAAAAATGGATAGTAATTGACTAACTATGTATCAATTTTTTAATAACTTTTAAGTTTTCCCAAACAAGCTCTTAATATCTTCTAAAAAATAAGAAACTTTATTTTAAGAAATAGATTCTAATGATGCCTAACTATAATATTCTCGCTTCCATAAAATGATTTTGATACTAATTATGATAACTTCAGTCTTCATCACCAATAAAAGCAAAATTGTCTTAAAAGCTAGTGAGTTTGTTGAGTAGATTAAATTTGTATTTAGCCCCGGTTTTACAATCATTATCTAAAAAGTATTTTTTTTTTTACATATTTATTTTCA